CTTAGTTTATTATAAACAAAGCAGGCACGAAAGCATCCTCCCATAGTCTGAGCTATACTTTTGGTCGTACTCCAAAACCAAATTAACAGCACTGTCAGCTACTGATTACAATAAAACACTCGTCCAATCATTCTCGCTTGTATACCTAGCTGATTCGTAACATGTTCGAAAATCATCCGCCGATGTGGCTCAGTTACAAGGAACTGTGATTTAACAGTGCATTTAGACGAATGCTTTTCGACAGCTTTAGTTACTAGTGCAACAGGAAAGGCTCGTAAGACGAATTAGGGGCAGAACTGTAAAGTGAGCCTAAAAGATATTCAAAAAAGTCTAGGACATGATGACATGGGTTAAGCTTAATTTTGAATTATGATTTCGAGCGTTTCGAGTTTGAACTGAAATATCTGGATTTTCTCCAAGTGTAGAATATTCGACAAAAAGAGATGTGTAAATTTACCAGCATCTTCAGGAGCTTCTGCGCAGCTTTCTCAAAATTCAGTATCAGGAGATAAGGATATTTGTGGCGCCTCCGGGTCGACACTTAGGATTGCTGTTGTTGTTGTTATTGTTGTTGTTGTTGTACAGCTAACTGTATGCGGAGGAACAGTGAAAGCAGTAACGCACCCGTCGGGTGGCAGCAAGAGGCAGACGAACTTGACCGTGATGGCAGCCTCGGATGGTCACTGGTCACCGGAGGTACATTGGAATGACGGCGCTGAACCGGACTGGTCGAAGGGCGTCCCCATTGCTCCACCCACATTTTCTACCTTTTGAAAACCAGAAACAGAAACAACCACTTTCATTCAAAAATTCTCTTCGCTCAATACCCTCTCTGATCATCATCCATTGCAAATTTCGCACGGATTTACGTCGCCTGATGCACCATCCCCTTCATTCCTCGCCTCCGTCAAATTGTTATCTTTTTTGCCACACACTAGCTTCTACATCACTTGCCGTTCTCCTTGCCGGCCGCCAGCTATAATCTGTATAGATGACACATACATACACATACATACACACAACCGTTTAGGTATGGAAGAACGTGTGCAGTAATTTCGATCAAAAAGCGCTAGTTCGTAAGAATCATATCAACCAAAGAATTCACTAGCCATATTTGGAACAACTGGACTGCGTCCAGTAGGGGTTCTGCTTATGTTTTCTATATGCGGAAACAAAGAGCAGGGGAAAAGTAGGGGAATGAAGAGGTACGGGAGAGCATCAAAATAAGGACGTAACCTCAATTTTGTACTTTGGTGTACTCAAGCAGATGCTTATGCACATAACAGGTGTCATTTCAGGTATTTTGGGCGGATCGCGGAATGAAATGCATGGGAGCTGAACTGTTTTAATGACATGTGCATCCATCCTTTCAGAGCTTCAGCTGGAACATGCAGGACAGATGAGGGAATGGTCTCTGCTTTCAGGATGTGAGAACGATGGTTTGAGCATTGGAGCACAAACAGTCCGAATCGTCTTCACCTTCTCCCGTCCAACCTCATAATTTTTAGAACGAATTTGCAGACTGCATGAAACTCGGACAACTCAAACGTTCGGTGTTTGTCGCAGTCCGATGCATAACGCAAAAAATGCGAAGTTGTGTACTGCTTCTAACAGATGCACAGACAGAAGACGACGCGTAGCTGGTGAGCGTTGCCTGTAGTGTTTGCCAGCTGAGAGCATTTTTGCATGGTAGTTGATGTGGTACAGGATGGGCCATATACCAGACGTTGTGTAAAGGAGGCGCAGCGGACGGTATGACTGAAGCTGTTGAAGGATGTGGGAAGCATAGGATGAGACGAGGTGGGATGGGTTTTTCAGTAGTGCAGAATCTGGATTTCGCTGCCAATCGTAAACTCGTAATCGGAGGCGCTTTGTGGCATTGCTTGCCGTCGTTTTCGTTTCGAAGCAGTGTCGACAGTGCCAATATAGTTATTGGTTCCACTTCCCTCGCTCAGAGTTCGTCTCTTACAATTCCATCCTGCCCACCATATCCTGAGATGGCTAAAAAAAGTGAAATGATGGGCAGTGCCGTCTGATTCGGCCGTTATTACATGAGAGCTGGCATGGAGATTTCTAGTCCATGGCCATCTGGTTGCACTTTGAACTGACACAATGAGTGTGTCCGAAAAGACCGGTACCCAAGGATGCCATCTCATCTTCCCATCAAAGGATGAACAGTGAATGAGAACACAATTAGTTGACAAGAACAGAGATGTGCACGCTCCACGCACACACAACTTTAAGGATCCGGTCTCCGTGTCCATCCCCTCCCCACTCCGCCCCGTACACTCTGCCCCGCGGCTCTTCTCGGCCTTCAAAACCAACTCCGGATGCGCTTCTACTTTTAGAGCAGCGCTACCCATAATCCACTCATCTTCACCTACTTTCCCCATTTTCTTCCACTAATTTCTAAAAGCTATCTCTAAATTATTCTTTTGATTCCTAACCCACCACACTACCGGCTCAGTCCGTTCTTCGTCTATGTTTATCAGTTATAATCTATCAGCAACAGCTCGATGCTCATGGTATTTCAAACAAATTTACAGCTACTATCATAATTTGCCATTACGCCTTAACACTGCACATAGGCATTCATGCCTCAACTGAGAGAGCAATCCATCGAAAATATGGTTCGATTTGCAACGACTTCAGCTTACATTCTGCGGGAATATTAACTATTTGAAAATTAGACATATATATATATGTATATATATGTATATATATATGTACATATATATATATATATATATATATATAATGCAATTTAATAAACCTATTGCCAGGAATTCTTTCACTTTGAGATCTTATATGCAGGTACTGGCTAGTTCTCAGATTTTAATGCTCAACTATGACTTCGCAAGTAATAGTAAGTCTGTCTTTGTTTGTTTTGGTGTGTTTATGATAGCCACTTCTGTGCACTTCACTATGTCAGTTTTTAACGCTCTTTTAAAAATCTCGTGTTGCTTCCCATCTGTTGTAGCTTGCACAATAAAACTAATCTGATCCTTCGTTGAGAGCAACAAGATTTCCCGCAAAATAGCGCGAGTAAGAAATCTAAATGTGAGATTAAAAGCAACAGAGCAGAATCTAGTTTTTGATTATCGTGGCTAAGTAAAAAAATCTCCAAATGCCATCAAACTCATATGATCTGAATTTATGGATTCAGATCATATGGGTTTGAAGTGCATAACGTGGACTAGACAGAGAGCACAAATCTGGAAGCTTCCAAATTGGACATCTATTCCGAACCTCTGTACTTCCACACTAGCTCTCACTGATAGTAAATATGCTCCTGCAAAATGTAAATTGACGCAGGACGATTCACACATACCGGTTTTGAAATATTACGCAATTGCACGTTTCAGAGATCTCCAAAAAACAGGATGTATTTACAGGCAAAATGGGTAGTATCTCTTCAACCGACACTGCCCTAATAATCATCCATTTCTATGCTTGTAATAAAAAATTATTCCCTCAAAACTGGGTCAGAACGCTTCATTGCTCTCTTGTTCCGATGGAATGCAGTTTAAGCAGATACAAAGATTGTCGGAACATCGAAACGCTGATAGATATAGGAAAGTAGACTTTATAAAACAAAAACTACTGAACTCACGCGTCAACAAAAGCCTGTTTCCAAAGACACATTTAGGTCGCCAAATACATGAAATGCACCACCACTATAGGTACCACTAGCCCTCAAAAAGTGCAAAAAAAGAATTACCCCTCAGATTTCTGACTCTCATTTTATTTTTTCAATCATTTGTTTCTCATCCTGAACATACTTAAACTCGACATTCATGGACCAAATTATCCATTTTCTAGCGCAGCAACCACTCCTCAGCTAATGTTTTGTCTTTCATGCCAAATTTTGTGCGCTGTCATCGTGCTAGACCCAGTCCACAGGCTGAGCTTGTCACATTTGCTTCAATTATTCGTGTGAAGCCTTCACACAAATAATTGCAGCCTATATATATATATATATATATATATATATATATATATATATATATATATCGCCACAAGGCG